CTCACTTTCATACCGTGTGTTAGAGACTTCTTCGAGGAAACATGGTTTCTGGCGTGTCGCTTTCTGCGTGGGGGCCCGGAACTCCTGTCAACAGCGATGAGCTATCAGAAACCCTGAACGGTATCAGCATATCAAAAGACCTAGAGTCTGCAGTGGACAGCTGCGAGTTGGGACGCAGCACTTGCAACGATATGTCGGGTGGTTTGAGTTTTGAGACACCGAAAAGCCCCCAGGCGCCAGAAGATACTGGTCCACACATTGAAACAAGAACGACCGACACGCTCGTATGAGTTGGCCCTCTGAGGTCTGCCTTTGCAGGAGCCAAAAAATTCTTTAACCCTTCCAAAAGAGATCGGTTGAAGGATCGCGACAAGCGGCGGCACGACCTCCATGAGCAAGCCCGCAGCCAGGCCGGCTCTGCACCTCTGTGATAACAGCATTGAGTGGGTCCTTGATGCGGGCTCTGAGGCATTGGGCGGTGCAGAGCTTCGGGCCCTAAAGGCCTGTGAGGGTTGTGGAATTTCAGAAGCCTTCCAAAAGTCAGCCGGGCTTCCGCAGCCGAGAGTTCATGTGCAAAGAGAACTTAGTTCCGGATGTCAAGGGGGAAACCTCAGTATTTAGGCAACCCTCTGAGCCAAGTGGCGAACATAAACACGAAGCAACGCCAAACCTGTCAGCAAGGGGGCTAGCAGTAAGACTAGTCGGAACTCATGATAGCAGTTGCCGGGACATGTCGCGCCAGCTTGTCGCTCGCGCGGCAGATGGGCTATGGCATCCGATCACGTGGCCTATACCCTGCAACCTGCGCCTCATGTGTGGGTTTTATAGGTTTTGCAGCGGTTAGGATTTAGTCTTGTGCTGCCTTCGGCTGTCAACACAGCGTAGCTGCGATGACTTTGCATTTTTTGGGGGTGTGTGTTCAGGAATTTTTGAGAAAGGTACCCAGTTGCTGCTCTTCAGTCCCTCTTTGGCTGTGCTCAGCGGCACAGCGTTCCCCCATGGCCTTCCCAACGGCGTGACGCGGATCTTCCCTCTCTCAGTTGCCGACCAGCAGCAGGCCGATACTGTGAACAAAACTGTCTCACCTTACCAGCCCGTTTCAACACGCACCTTTAAATGCGATAGAACGAGGCCGAAGGATGGCAGACGAGCTGCCACCAGTCTCTCGAACAACAGATCGGGAGCAAGGTGGGGGTTCGAAAAAAATCGGAGGAGCTCTTAGCGATCCTCATAATATCTACATGTTGTGTCATTTTCTCTAGTACTGTAGGGGACGTGAAGGCGGATCCCACCAGGTCTTACGTTCGGGTCCCGCTGCCAGGTCGATGGCTACGTGAGCCTTCGCGTCAGTCGGCCGCAGGGCAGGGCTCCTTTGCTCGTCCGAGAGCTTCCCGAAACCGTGGGCAGCAAGGCTGGGTCCTCTGGTCTTTTCAACAAAAGTTTTGGACAAGTTACACTTGCTTGCAATGCCAGTCGTCCCTTGGTATGGGTGTCAACACCAACCGAACATGAAACCTTTAAGACACTCCCAGACCGCGAACTGCAAGAACCGACTAGTGACTAGTCCGAGTGAGAACAGATTCCAACCCCTCTCGGAAGGTGTGGCGTGGCGCCTGGCTTCTCTGGAAGTGCCTGGCAAACCTCCACGGTTTGGGCGGAGTCTCCCGTGTGCTGGAGTTGGGTGCCGGCGTGGGCCTGGTGGCTTGGGAAAGAAGACCTTGAATTGCGGGCCTCGAGTTGTAAGAGTTTGCGCCGGGATATGAGGACTTAACGGTGTTGAAGTCTTCAGATTAAGTTCAGTGTTGTTGTTTCGGGCTTTTGTGCTCAAGGGTTTGGGAGGCTGTTTTCGTAAGGGAAAGGTTCGGAATGGACATGGCCATGCTTGGTTTCAGAACATGCAATTCATCAGCACATTGTTTTAACCTGTGGGTTCCAGGTACACAATATACAGCCTCTATCGTAATACAGTAGTACTGAGACTAGCACTAGTTATACTAGAGGATTACGGTAAGGGATTCCGTAGAGATGATGCGGCTCGCCCAGCTTTCGTTCATGGTTGTGTGTGTCTAGAGCAGGTGGGGCTGCTTCTTGCAGCGGACCATTCGCTTCTCGGATTGGGGAGCCTGAAATTTCAGAAATTAGGGGACCGGGTCGATTTTGATGGTCAGTTTGGCACAAAGAGTTGGCATTATCGGACCTCTGGAATTGAATACACCGCCTGTAAAGTCTGCCCGGAAATGTATAGGGCTTCCCACATACTGCTTGCGGCATTGCACCATATCCTGGCGTAGTAAGTAGTGGAGAAACCCAGCCTGAAATATAGCACGAATGCCAGGCTGATAAACGCCTAGCGCTCGGTGTTCCAAAGCTGTGATGTGAAGGACAGTGGCATCATTCGTTTCGTTGATTAACGTTGTCCAATGTACCTAGAGTGGCCGACAGCCCGAAACGCCTCAAACTACCTTTACTTGTTCTGGGCACCGACCAATGCATGAGTAAAAGAGCTCCAAGAACTCCGACCGAACGATTTGCAGTAGACTTTACCGGGGCTTAGGGTCCAGGCATGTTTAGATTTAGGGTTGCGGGGTGTGGGGTTTAGTGGCTTTCCAGTCAACCCACAGCCGAGGTGGCAAACCTTGTGCGCATTGATTGACCTTAAAACCCTAACACCCCCAAAAACCAGGCTGGAGGTAGTGGTCTCTGAGACGCGGAGCGGCTATGGTGGAGCAGAACTGACGTGGGAAAATCTGGCCACAGGGCAGCCAGAGACAAGCCCTTTTCAAGGGGTCCTTTCTCCTACTGGTGGTTTTTTACGGTTTAGGAGTATGGGGGTTTGGGATTTTGTTGCTTTTGTCAAGCGGCTCAGGGAAGTTCAGGGTCTCAAGCTTGAATTCATTCTGCATAGCATACCTTCTCAGATGTTTTAGTTTGCGTCGGAATCACTTTTGCGCTTCGGTAGCTTCATATATTGTTTTGGAAAGAATGATGGCCCAGGTTTACAATGTTCAGATGAATGCTGAGCAGATTGACGAGGGCGGGGGTCGCATAGAGGCTTTGGAATTAGACTGGACGCAGGGCCTGCAGGACCAGGTGCGGAAATTTGACCTCGTGGTGGGCAGCGATATACTCTATGAGCCGCATATCTTCGAAGACCTGTTGGATGTTATGCAGACAGCAGCTTCGGAAGCAGTTCTGGTGCAGAACGTGGCGAGGAAGGGCACGCAGTACTTCAAAGAGCTTTGCCGGGCCAGAAACATCGGGCTGCGGGCCGTCGACGTGTCTGACTTGGATGCGAACGAACAGTGGCTTGTTGAAGGTGTTGCTGATGCAGTCGACGGGGTCTACCAGTGCTGGTTCCTAGATTTCAGCCAAGCACAGAGCGGAAGCGAAGGCTGTGCAAAACCTCTGTGTGTTTGTGTCTTGTGTGTGTGTGTGCGCGTGCGTGCACGTGCACGCGTGCGTGTGCGTGCGCGTTCGCGCGTGTGCGTGGGTGCTTACGTGCGCGGCAAGGTCGGCTTGTGTGTGCTGGTTTACTCTGTTACTGGTATTGCTGCTCTGTCACCGTGCATCGCGCCTTGAGGCCTGTACTGTGGCACTGGGTTTGGTGGCCGCCCCTCCAACCATTCCCTGGATTTTGGATGGGGTTAGGGCGGTTAATTCAGGGGCCCGAGGGGGCTTAGAAGGGTTCGCTTAATTAGTAAATGGTTTATCAAAATCCTATGCAAAAGCTACAAAATCCGGCAAAATCAAGCCTCAGGCCTTCTTGCTCTCCTTTACTCAGTGAAGATTGACCATAAGCAGACAGGAAGAAGGGAAACAACCGCCGGGCGATATACTGGCACAGTATAGAGGACCGCAAAACGTACAAAAAGGGAATAACACCGGAAGGTGCGGATTAAAGAGAGTCACCTAATTCAATCCAGTGCGACATTGGCTGAGCCCTGACTCAAAAGCAGCACACTCGAAACGCTTAACGGTAAACCCATGAAAGTTGAATTTTCGTTGTAATTCTGCTGAACGGGCGTCAGAAAGGAGGCGTTTGGGACGACCTTGACAGCGGAGTCGGCTGAGTTGCTAGCAGTGGCGACAGTCTCGTTGCAGTAGCGGTAGCATGTGCCCCAGACCCCAAATCCGGTCATAATCCACAACTATGTACATGGCACCCTTAAACCGTGAGCACCACTTCCTCGGCCGAGGGAGTTTTAAACTTGGAGGCTTGGCTTGTTCAGCGGTCTTGGTTCTTAGCCACACGATGCTCACACCAGAGAGTCCGAAACTTGCGAACAAAGACTCGAGCCCTATGCATCTGTGGCCTTATGATATCTTATGATGGCCTTGAAAGGAAAGCCAAGAAGCGCCCCCCCCCCCCTCCCCCCCGAAACCTCCCTGCGGCCCAGCTTTCTGATACGGCTTCCAGGGGTTCCGGCCTGAAAATGTGCAGCCATGAAATGCCTTTTGCCAACTGGGGAACTCAGTCTGCAAAATCCTGGACCTTGTCCAATTGTGAGTGTCAGAAAAAACCCTGAACCGAACACTTACCGTACACCACCACTCCAAATCCTGTTCCCCAGCCCTTATGATCCTAAACCTTGACCTTATGATTATAAACCTTGACGTCTGAATCATACCCGCAAGAAACTCGGTGAGCCGACAACCCTTCTCATCTTTGAACAGGAGATGCCGCAGCAGCTTCAGATNNCAGATAAGCGCCCGCTCCAGGAAGCTTGCACCGACCTGAGGGGCTCTGCTCAGGGTTAAATGAGGACTCAAACTATTAGAATGTTTGGGGTTGCTTGGCTGCTCGGGGTTCAGCGATGTCGGGTTTGGGACTCTTGGGTTGGATACATGCGGGTTTTGTCCCCAACTAGTGTGGTGCACCACGCGGCTCACATTTGGGACTACAAGTGACATGGAGCCGTGTTCTCGCCACGTCCGTCGGTCCCCGCCCGCCCCGAACACCGATCTCCGAGACTGATGAAGGTCACTCACACCCAGTATTCTGTGCGTGTTTTGGGGATCGCGCTCTGCCACAGTCCCGTGGCCTTCAAATCGCTCGCAATCGCCAAAGTCCTGGCACGGCCGCACTTTTAGGCTCCTCGAGGCTGCGGTCTGGAAATCCTGACTTGGTAGCCTCGGGGTGCTCTCGGAAGTCTTCTTGGGACTGTATTTCACTGGCAAGTGTGGGGCTTCTGGGGTTTCTTAGAGCCAGGCATTTGGACCTTGACTAGGGTTTGTTATTTCGAAACGAACATGCGCCACAGATTGTTTCCACAAGGCAGAGTTCGGAATCTCGACAACGCACCCAAGCCTGAAAGATGGTGAAGCGTATGTAGAGAGAGAGAGAGAGAGAGAAGTGTATGCTGGGGGCAGCATTGAGCGCTGTTGGCAAACGCATAGGAAACTAGTGAGGTTTCAGTCATTTGGGCCCGCATGGGTTGCGAATGTCCTCGAGTCTCTCGCCGAGAAAGGCTTCGAAAAAGGCTCCGGATTTAACGGCCCGAACGATTTGCGGATTAGGGGGTATATCTTAGATTCTCTCCGATTCGAGGCCGCCCACGTCAAGCTGGCAGCTCAGTTCTGGGAAGAGGTGTTTTTCGACAGCGGACCGTAACATGGACCCTGAAAAATAGGATCATTGCTCGTCTAAAGGCTTCCAAACTGGGAGCACGTATCTGGAAGAAATTCTCAAGTAGGTTGCTGTCATCCCACATACCTTCATAGATAGAGAACAGACCAATGCTAGTATGTATGATAAATTCGAAACGACTATGGATGTTCTTTTGAGCATTTTGCGGACACTTGGCGCAAGGCTAAGTTCAGGCTTTTTGGACACATATTGCGAGCCAGCCCAGCAGATCCTTTAGTTCAAGTTACTTTCAAAACAGACGGATTGACACCTAGAGCTCCCAGCAGAAGGCGGCCAGGCAGGCCCAAAGCAGGTTGGACAACCGAAGCTTATAAAGATGCATATAGAATACTTCACGGAGATGCTAACGTTTTTGATGTCAATAATATACAACATCTAAATGATATGAAACAATCAGCTAGAAATCGTCAAGGACCTTTCGCTGTGTAACATGAAAATGATACATCGGGACACAGTCCCAGAGGCCATCGGCCTCTCGAGGTATTCCTCGCGGTAATCTCGTCATCTTTGCTTGGGAAGCGTGGTGCTATTTTCCTTTTTTGATTTACTCATTGCAGCGCAAATGGTTTGAAGGTAACGTTTACTCTATGACTGCTGAACTTGTCTCACTGCCCTAATGTACCTCTCTCTCACTCGTGCTTTGCATTCTCACAAGCCTGTTGGGAGCCCCTCTGTGCTCGACAGAAAAAGGTTGCTGTCATTTTGGCAGTTGTGTTTGCCGCGTGGGACTGTGTCATGATGGTGGTGCTGGAAGTGGTGCCATGGGTATATACCCATAGCATTACATGGTAGTCGCAGTTGTCGTCGTTGTAGCAGTAGATGCCGTCGTCGTCAAAGTGTAGTAGTACTAGGTGCATGCTGAAATGTGAAGAGATTGTGAGGGGAGCAACAATAGCCGCGGTGGGCGTCGTTTGCGGTGGAGTCGTGGCTGCAGGTGGCAGTGTAACGGGAGATACCAGTAGCAGGAAGTGATACATCGCCGCAGTCGTTTAATGATGGGTCGCACGAAAATTTTCCACACACGACATACAATTGAGGAATGCAACTGCAACTGCAACGGTACTTTGTAGAAGTGCAAACGAGGAAGCAGCAGCTAGCAGCTAGCGTTAGTAAACGGACAATTTTTGGCAGGGAAACTCCTCAGTCTCTGAACTTTTCGTCGTATCTATACGATAACGAATGCGCTGATACTCTACATCATCCTGCTTCAACGGCGTCCCGCATTCCACTCTCGGCAAGGCCTGTGTTGGCAAGTTGCCCCTCTCGACCCGATGTCTCAAAATCTTCAGACTAACCCTGACACCAGCAATTCCATGTTTGTGTCCCCCCCCGCTCCTCCCCAGTTCGGTTCACACTCGACGATGGCCAAGCGCACGCGAAACCACGACCACCCGAGTTTTGCCGGGTGTCATAGCGACCCCTTCGTCCCCTCTGGCAAACACAGGCAGTTGCTAAGGCCTGCGAACCCCAGACCGCCCTGCCCCGCCCCACCCCGCCCCACCCCGTTCCACCCCACACCCACCCAACCACCCACCAACCCAACCCCACCCCACCCCACCCAACCCAACCCACAAGCCAAGCCAAGCCAAGCCAGCCCCCCACCCGCCCGCTCGCCCGCCCACCCACCCACCCACCCACCCACCCACCCACTTTAGAAATCGAGGTTTTTTTCTGTACAATCTCCACTACGCCACCACTCTGCAATTTACAGAGGTCTACAGTGAGTCTACGATTGAGGGAGCCACAACAACGTGGAAGTGAGAATCTGGTTTTGGATCCGAATTATTTGGGGTACCATGTCCGGATCCCACTACATAACGACTCCTTCACGAACAGGCTCGAACAAACTGGAGCACTGGAGCTCAGCCGTGCATATGTGTTGCAGACGACGAAAGCAGCTCGACGGGGAGCTGGAAGTCGTCAAGCAGCATGTTCCAAACCCTTAAAGTATCCCCGAAAGCCACCTGCACTGTCGAGGCCATCCCTCTGTCCAGAGTTCTTGCTGTTCGCCACACCGTAAGCAAGATGGATGTGGAGGGAGCAAAACTGCAGCTCTTCGCAACGCCTCGTAACTGGAGGAATGCGCGTCTTATGATCATCGAGTTCTCCGGGGGACGATGCAAGCACTATGGTGTGGGCCCGCTGGCTTTCGCTTCGATGCTGGATTTGCTGCCAGACGGAGGACGGACCCATTTTCATCTGGACGTGAAGATCGGGACCGTGAAGTTTTGGCTTCGAGAGCAGTGTGCCCGAAACCTGGATTTCATACTTTTCTGTACCGATCACGGACGGATGAAGAGAGCAGCGGCCTTTTCGCCACGCAGGAGATGCGTGATCTCATGGGCAAGCTGCCTGTGGAACTCCGGAATTTGGAAGGATACGTGGAATCCCCGAAGCGGTGCTAAAGGAATGGCTGGGGTATTTTATGTGGGGGGGGGGGGTATATCACCAAGTATAAGTAGCCTCCTTCCCTCCCGGCTTAAAGGCGTATGGCTTAAGGCTTACTGATTGCGGCTTAATGATTAAAATGTAAGCTGTAGTGCTTACTTCAGGCCTACGGGTTTCAAGGCTCATTCTCTGGGTACCAGATGCGCCCTATGTTAGATGTTGTTGGCCCAAAATACTATTTACTACAAGCCAGCCAAAGGGGTCCTTACTGACGGGGGGAAGCGATGAGCCTCAAACACCCCAACCCATCCCATCCTCGGGTGCGTCCGCCAAACCTCAAGCGGAAACGTACCCCGTGCCA